CTTTTGGAGGTTGCTAGGATGCCTGGTAGCCAAGGCCTCGCTCCCGGCTTTCTTTGTTCTGTACTTTGTGTGATTGCTTCAGGAAACAGAAGGGCTGATCTTCATGTGCTGTAAGATTGACGTTCAAAGGTGGTTCAAATTAAGATCAATCGAGATCAAGACCATCGACATAAAGAGCACGCGAATTAAGATCGGATTCGGATCAAGTTCAGACCAAGTAGGACAGGGCAGATTAAGACCACGCAAATATATAGCACGACATTGAGACCACATGGAGAGCTGAATCGTGTGGATCGTCTAATTGTAGTTGTTGGAGGGATTGCAGCTAGGCCGTCGATTTGAAAAAGGAGCACCTAGCCTAATGATAGACTCCACGTAAGCTAGAGCTACGTGATTGGACCAGATTTGGACTCTAATCTCCTGATGAACACTTATTCCTAGTAGTTGTGCACTTGAAAGGCGCTTCAAGCCGCCTTCAAGCCCCTTCTTTCAGCAGATTCAACCGGCCACACAAAGGTCAATGGCCATTAACAATTCCTTTTTGCTCAACTGAACTCGGGACCCTTGTCCTCGCTCGGCCGCCAGCCATCATTGAACAAAATGATCATGTGAAGGGCATTACATACTAATTCCAGCAGATCATGTGAAGGGCATTACATACTAATTCCAACAGCTCGGATCTCGGTCTGCAATCGACAAGTGGTCCTTTTTCACACGGCCCTGAGATCAAATCGGCGAATTTGTCATCTCGCATATCGATGGAAGGGACAAACTGAATCGATATCGGACTTTCGGTGTTGACGCGCGTATTCTACGAGTTGCGTGCACTTACAATTATATAGTCAGTAAAGGCTGAACACCGCAATTGGATATACCGTTGCTCAATCTATCAAATCTAGCCGCAGATGTACGTGACGGGCTCTATGCGCAACGTGTGGCACAAACTTGACGGTACGGTCGAATTTACACAATGCATGCTCAGCCAAACATAGCGCAGCCATACTAACTCAAATCGGTTTGCCCGCCAAGAATGCTCTCGCCTTCTTCACCATTGCAATCTTCAACAAACCGTCGTGTTGCATCGCCTCCATTCTCACCACGCCTTCCGTCTCAAACCGGGCAATCCCGTTTTCAAAGAAGACCATTGCACCCACGGCTTTTGCTTTCCGCATAGCGAAATAATCTGATCTCGCTCCCGAAACGTGCCGAAACCTCGTTCAAGGTCACCGTACTTGCATCGCCAGGCGTGTTACACTCCACGACTTTACCAATCCCCACCGCCGTCAAGACGTTTTCTCAAAGCCCCTCTATCCTCTCCGTATGCGCAATTCTTTTGTAGCTTGCGAATTGGCTCTTCTCCGCCGTGATATATTGGGTACTTCCCGAGTCAACGAGCCACACACCCGTCAGGACCCGCGCCTCTTTATGCCACGCCGTAAACGCCACACCGGCAAATTCCTTCCGCTCCGGCCGGTCCTCACCGCCGCTCCTTGCACCACCCCAGGGGTTTTTACACACCGAAGTTCTTCGTCCGAAGGGGAATGTTGGAATTCGGTGATTTTGGTCAGCCGAATTATTATCTAATTAGGGCTCGACCCGAGTTAAGGTTGCACTAGTGAGTGTCGGCGTTCGTGTACGGCGGTTGGACGATTTGGAGGTTAGAAGGGTGAGAGCGACCGTCAGTGTAAGCCGTAGATAAGGATATCAAAGACTAGAATTGAGTGTGACTGTGAGCTAGGATAGTGAGCGTCTCTAGTGTGTGACTTAGGCCAGTAAGCCTAGTAGGCTAGTGAGCCTAGTGGAATGGGAGAGACCCCACAAGCTACCTACAGTGGATCTCGGCGCGTACGATTTTGTCCAGATTATGTTATAATTTGTCTCGGAAAGTGACAGCGAAACTGACGGTATCCCTGACGCCGATTGACATATGTGCAAGAATTCCGCATCGACGGAACCGCCGATGTCTGACCCTAGTGTCAGTATTAGTATGAGCAGTGTCACGACTTCCACTCAAATTCGGGTTCCAAACTGGCTCTTACCTGTGCAGCCTATGTGCCTACGGCCTGCAAATGGCAGTCACATAAACGACCTAGAACGACATCAAAAGGTGTCTTGAAGGCTGTCAATGGCTTGGTTTTTGCTGGAGCAAATCGGAGATAGGAGCTATCAGGTGTTGAAATTGAGCGCCATAGCGCCGCCATGAAAAGCCTCTTGAAGATGCTTTCCGTGACACTTCCCTTTCTTCCTCCGACACTCCTTTTCAGTCTGGGGTACCGTGGTACCTCCGCGCGGTCCCAGTTCGAACTTCCGAGTCAGACCTTGAATTTCAAATTTTGTCGCGCGACAGACTGAAGCTGCCGCTACTCGGTACCGTACCTCCAAACAAGTTGAATTTTCAACGTCACCGACCGTACGAATGTCGAATTTATATTGCACTTTAGAATCTTGGACTCGGTTCTGAAATTTTACGTAGTACTTTGTAACATCGGCCAACCTCGACGTGTCGCGATACCGTCGCGAAACCGTCGCAAAATTTCACGACATCGAAAGGAAACCGTACGGACCGAAATCCACCCTAGGTTGCTTGTGCCGTAGGACTTACAGTGGTGGAAACCACTGTTGTGATACATCTTTGAGTCTAAAAGAAATTTCTGGAGAGAAGAAAGCCGCTTGTGAGGCGCTCCGTGTGTTCCTCCAAGGATGCATGGCTGCCATCAATGAATGATGAGCATGGGTGCCGGGCAACACGATAAGACCCGATGACGAGTATCCCGGACCAACTACACTACAAGTCCCTTCCGACATAAAGTTTCAACAGGACTAGTTCAAGGGGCTCCGCCACGCTTATCAATCGAATTCTCGGGAGAGGAGCCTAATCTGCTTCTCCATATGCAAGGTTCGCACACCGAGGCCGGACTTGAACCGCTCAAATTGCACTCGGTTTCACCCTTCCACGAGGTCGCCTTGCACCATTTTCGCTAGGTTTTCGTGCCGGCATGTCCGACCCCAATAGTCGGTGCTACAACTTGGCCGATTCCGGCTTCTTTCACAAGAGAGTCACTCTTCCACTAGGCTCACTAGCTACTAAGGCTCACGAGCTAAGTCACACACTATTGGGCTCAGGAGCCTAGGTCACAACAAACTCAACATTAACATTCAATACTCTCATCCACGGCTCACATTGACGGTACTCTCAAGCGCCTAATCTCCAAGTTATCATCGTCTAAACGCCGTGCACGCGTCAATTTTCACTAGGCAAATCCTAAACTTAGGGCCGAGCCCTAAATACCGTCATTTTGGCTAGCTATGATCATAAGATTCTAACGCAGGGCAATGCAATGAAAAATACGTGCGAAAGCTAATTTCTTTATGCTGCAGCCATAAAACCAGAAGCGCCCTTTTTCCTCAAAGATTGATGCATGGAATGTGTCTTGGACTGCTTTCTATTTCCCATGCTAGCTAGGCATCTTGCTCGCAGACGAGAAAACATCCCGGCTTAGTATTAAAAAAATACTTCAGACGGAGTGATAGTTTTAAGCTAGTTCAACCATACTTAGTCCAGATCTGGATAAGCTTCGAGCAATCCCCGGCCCCTGAATGGCATGTATACAAGGTCACCTGCATTGTGTATGGCACTGGTCAGAATCAATACGTGCAGACATCCTCGTGCAATATCCATATTGACAAGACTAGCATGTCAAGATTGTCAGCATGACGGAGTACTACAGTTTTCGGCTAGGTTGGGCGTCACTCAAACAAGCTTTCCTTCCCCCCAGTAGCGAGCGGCTTGTTCACCCGGAAGATCGGAGCCGTTCGATCGACTTAGTTGCCTGTCAAGTCCGCCTAGAGAGGATATAGGGCTACAATGGTTGTGCAGTGCGGCTTGAGACTGCCGCACTCTATAATTTGAATTAGCCGGAAATGTGGGCAGGGTTTGTAACGGGATCCGGCCAAGGCACTTCTATTTCGAAAGCGAGCGGGCAAATCTGTTAAAGTTTTCATGCATAACCTGTGTCCATGCATCGAATCTCAAAAATAATAGGTCGAAAATTTGTCAAAAGTTTGTTTCGTGAGCTGCATGCACTACCTTCCCCCTTTGCCAAACTTCAAAAAGCAAGATCTTGGCTAAGTGCGCTTCATGCACGAAGACAAACAGATCTTTTCGTAGAAATTGGACCCATCATTTTCGAGGTATGTTAGCGAGAGTTGAAAGGCAACATTGGTGGACGGAGCTCCACGATCTGTTGGAGCTTCAGACTAAAAGTGCCTCGGTTTTCGTCCTGCCACACGGTGGTTACCACGAAAAGCCCTTTGTTGAGATCCGGGGCATTTAGTGTGCGCAATCTCTTGGGTGACGTCGACGGGAGTTCGACGATAACCGGTAGTTAGCGGTTGGCGGTTAAATGCGCGCGGGTTACAGCGTTACACCCGAATGACTTATTGAGATATACGCCGTAATGAGTAGGTTCGATAGGAGCCGTAGATATTCAGATTTGCGCGAGATCTTCGGACTTGCTTATCCGCGGTTAACTGAGCCTACTAGGCTATCAATGTAGACCTAGACTAGGAGTGTCACTCTACTTGAGTGAGTCTAGCATAGCACACAGACTGCATACCCTTAGCGCCGCTAGACTCCGAACACTCGATATGTATTGTGTGAACATGATCATTCGATCATTCATTTCAATCAACGCCGTGTTTCAACAGATTATGGGCCCACGGCGCACGGACGGCGCACCACGGCGCCTGAGGAGTGAAGGCGCAAGCATTCAATAGTAGGCCTCCGGAAAGGTGAAACTTGAATCTGTGCGCCAAGGTCGGCCAATGGTTCTCTCTTGTCAATGAAGGCATCGGTAGGGGCGGTCTGCTTTGTCGTGGATGCTCTTTGAGCACAGCGACATTTGAAAGCCCGTAAGGGGGATCAAGTGGCAGGGAAAATCCAAAAGGAAATTTTCCACCTTTGGTTCTGAGAAAGAGAGAAAGGGAACGCAATCCCTAAAATGGCCGACGGATACAAGGGCCACATCGATAAGTTGGATGTGGAGAACTATAGAACGTGGAGTTCGAAGATTAAGTTTCTTCTGACTTCCAAGGATCTATGGAACGGGGTTAAGGATCCCGTAGCGCACCCTGCTCAATCAAAGAAAGCGTTGTCCATCATTGGGCTAAACGTTGAGGACCACCATCTGGGGTCGATTGAGGAGTGCAAACCCGCAAAGGAGGCGTGGGATCTCCTTGAGAAGACCTACAAGAGCAAAACCAATGCAAGGAAGATGCAGCTCAGGCAAGAGTTGCATTCTCTCAAGATGAAGTCGGGTGAGCCCGTGACCATGTATGTGGGTCGGGCAAAGAATTTGTATAGGGATTTGGTCGCCACCGGTGTTGAGATGAAGCCGGATGAGTTGGCATGGAGCGTGCTTGCGGGACTGCCCAAGACGTTCAGTATCCTGAGAACAATCCTAGAGGCTTCGGAGAGCGCCATTAGCTCGGTGGATGCGATTCTGCCGAAGCTCTTGGTGCATGAGCAGGGGTTTGAGGAGTCGCCTAAGGAAAAGGGCGGCGGTGGGTCGGACTCCGCAGTGGCCTATGTGGCCGGGCAGAAAGGGAAGGAGAAAGTCCACGGCAAGGATGAGAGCCGGGGCAAAGGGCCCACTAGTGCTATAATTGGGGGGAGTTTGGTCACATTGCCCGGAAGTGCAGTAAGCCGGATAGGCGGGAGCACAAGCCGGAGCAAAAGAAAAATGGGAAACTTCCCAAGGGTGTGGCCTTTAGCGTCATTGAGAGGGTGTCGACCGACAAGTGGCTCGTCGATTCGGGTAGCTCCCAATACCTAACCGGGGACAAGAGCCTATTTGAGACCCTCGAAATGTTCGGGGAAAGTGGCCGAGAGTTTACGTTCGGGGACTTGAGGGAACCCTATGGGCAGAGGGGAGCGGCTCGGTAGAGCTGCGGTGTGCGACACCGACCGGAGAAAGTCTGGTCACTCTGCAGAACGTGATGTATGTCCCGGGGGTGGCGGCGAATTTGATCTCGGTGAGCAAGGCCACCGAGGTTGCGTCAGTGTTGTTCAAGGAGAATGGCAACTGCGAGCTTGAGGTTGACGGGGAGGTAGTCCCTGTGGCTCGGAAGGTGAAGGGGGTCTATGTGGTCAACCGGGCGGAGAAGGAGACGTGCTTCCTTGTGAAAAAGCCGGAAACGGCGGAGTTGTGGCACCGTTGGTTGGGACACGCTGGGTACGAGAACTTGGCGAAAATGGTGCAAGGCGACCTCGTGGAAGGGGTTGGGGTGAAACCGAGTGCGTTCAGGGCGCTTAAAACCTTGGTGTGTGAGCCCTGCATTATGGGGAAGCACACTAGGCTCCCGGAATCCGACTCGGTGAGCACGGAGCCTCTTGAGGTAGTCCATATGGACGTTTGCGGGCCAATGCCGGTAGCCTCGGTAGGGGGAAGCCGGTACTTTGCCACGTTCTTGGACGACTATAGCAAACTCTCGGTTGTAGTCCCCATGAAGCAAAAAAGCGAGGTGGCCAAGATCACAGAGCAGGTGATCAACCGGTTGGAGTTGCAAACGGGGAAGCAGCTCAAGTTGGTGCGGACGGACCGGGGGGAAAAGTACGTCAACAAGGCTTTTGAAGACGTTTTCGGGGGGAAGGGGACGGTCCACGAGAAAACCGCCCCCTATAGCGCCCAGCAGAACGGGTCGGCGGAAGGGCTTAACCGGGATCTAAAGGAGAAGACCCGGGCAATGCTTGAGGACTTGGGGTTGGCCAAAGAACTGTGGGCGGAAGCCGTGGTGACGGCCAACTACACCCGGAACCGGACGCCCGTGAGCGCCCATGGGAGGACTCCCTGGGAAAGCTTTCTTCAGTGAAAAACCGAATGTCGGGCATATGAGGGTTTTTGGGGCCCGAGCGTTCCGCCACGTACCCAAGCAGCGGAGGCGTAAGCTAGATCCGGTGAGCGACCGATGTGTGTTCGTGGGATACGAGCCGGACTCGAAAGCGTACAGGTTGCTGCGGGACCGTGACGGGAAGTTGATCATCTCCCGTTGATCATCTTTGACAGAGGAGATCGGGGGAGATGGGGTTGTCGAGCTTGGCTCCGACCCCACGGACGGTTCCCACACGGCGGAGGGTCCCGGCGCACAGGTTCACACGGAGGCTCATGAGGGGCCAAAAGTCGAATCTCTGCGCGATGGCGCCGCGGCCGCGTGCGCGCCCGACGACCCGCGGCCGCCGCGCGCTCACAAACGGGCCAAAATGAGGGCAAAGTTTGAAATCGTGCGCGAGACCAGGGCAGAGCCGGAAGAGATTGAGGAGGATATCGGGATGCAAACACCGGCTGCT